TGTGTGTGTGTGTGTGTGTGTGTGTGTGTGTGTGTGTGTGTGTGTGTTGTAGATGCAGGCTGCGTCAGTTACGCGTACTCAACATGAAACTATCTTGTGTTTTCATTGGGCCTAACTGGAGAATTCAAATCGTTGAAACAACGCCAGTGCAGCTAGAGCGCTTTAATGGAAATTGGAAATATTTTTAGAAATGGATGGGGGTGAAAATAAAGGCTGCGTACACGGAGAATGCTGCTCAGTTTTGCCCCCATTTCTCTACATCGGAGCGACGATGAGCACTGAGTGTCTGTCCGGGGCCAGTAAGTGTTTTCCAATGAGTGCTGTTCCACAAAAGGCATAGATTTATTTCTCTGCATGACAAAGAATTTGGAGCCAATCAACAGCTTCACTCACAACTGTTTCCAAAGTTATAGGCCTGTGCGTCAGTATAACCACAACAACAAGGTGCGTGTTGGTTTTGGGCACAAACTATCATTAATCAAGGTACTTTATCTTAAAGAAGTTTCAGGCATTTTGGTGTTAACGTGTTTTTTATGTTTGTATTTTATTTTATAATAGATGGTTTGTTTGTTGGCTATCTGCTATTAACCTCAGATGACTTATTTTTAAAAAATGGCTGCTTTGATATTTATTTCCAAAGACGGTCCTTAAAATCAGAACTTATTTTAATAGAAGAAACATGTATATATATGTTATATAAAAACAACCTATATTCAAACGGTTCTATAGTAAATGAAAATATTAGAGAGCTATCCTGACTCGATCCGGGTCATTACACCCCGCCCTGGATACAGAAGCCCTCAGGTTATTGTCTACACTGTTAAAAAAAATATGACAATCGTTACTTTAATTTTGCTGTAATGGAACAAATACTGGGGTTTTAAATACGCGTTTCAGTTAAATATTTGTATTTTTTTGCATATACTGTGGCCGGGAATATTTGTCCTTATTTATCACATTGAATGGAAGACAAGACGTCCTCTTTGTCCAAGGTTTTGAGGTCATAAAATATGCAATTCAATAAAATATGAAGAGCCCTGAATTAAATATGAAACAAAACTGATTGAACCGAACATCAATAGTGTTTCTATAGGAAGGCTACCCTCCAACAGAGTAAAACTCAAATTTACATTTATTTTATTTATTTTTTCTATGAAAAGGACATTTGGACTTGCTGCAAAGCTGCTTGCATTCATGTACTTTTAAAAAGTCGTAATATAGAGGTAAAACAAATCGTATGTACACAATAGATCGGCCCAGCCAATACAGCAGGCGTAGAGGTTCAACCTTTATTTTAACTCGGAAGTACATAAAAAGAAGAGAATCAGTGCGTAAAAGGAAAACGGTGGGCAGTTTCTGCCCAAAAGAGTTAAAGAAGTCAGTGCTCCCTGATCTGTAGTAGACTGTGATTTCAATAGTTATGTTGCTCCCTCAGTGTTAAGTTAGTCTGCAGGCCCTCATAACAACACAGGCCTCCATCTTTAAGCATGACGACATTGCATAACGTCTCACCAGAGAGGCAACAAACCCTCCTAATATTCAGATATTACAATTTACAGATTTTTCTTCACGAGCTCCAGGGCAAAAAAACACGAGAGCTCAAATGGAAACTTTGGCGAGCAGAGGAGGAAACCAGCGACTGTACGCAGACACGCTGACCTCTCGGTGACCCCCCCGGCCTCTCTGCGGAAAATCACCCAGACTCAGCTTCAAAAACAAATCTGCGGGCGTCGTTCGCTACAAGAACAAAATGTTAAATATCTCCCCCCAAAACCGGCGCACACCCCGGATCCTTCTACAGGCCACGTCCTCCTCTGATGGGACACCATTAACCAGCGACTATATGAACACCCATAGATCTCATGTGACAAACATAAGGAATTCATGTGATCAGCAGTAGGGGTTTAATATAAAGCTGTCTCACAGGTGACAGCAGCTACCACTATATACATATATAACAATAGTAATAGTAAACGTAAAAAATGACTATTGCTGGAGCTGCTACGATTACAGACAGCTTCTGGCACTGACCGACGCTCTGAAGAAGCAGGCCGTTTTAAATGATCTTTTTGTCCAGATCACGTCTATAATCTTTGCCATTTTTCACCCTCGTGTCTCTCTTCCTCTCACGTTCTGTGTGTCGTTGTTATGTCCACTTTACTAAACGAGCTGCTTGTGAATATGCCACAGGACACCGCACGGCTAAACGTTCAATACAAGATAAAACTAACCATAATATCCACACAGCGAGGACTGATAGCCCGATATATGGATTATGTCCACAGCAAACAATTACACCACGCTGCAACAAAAGTAAAATATCTTGCACAAAAATACCAGTTGCAATTTATTTTTTTACTTTTTTTCTTTACGGAATTCTTAGTGGAGGGAACCTGCTGAGTTTTTGTTCTTGGAAATCATTACATACAAAACACCTGCTTCATGCAAACTGCAGTGATTCAAAACATGCCTCACATAATAATATATTTTGAATTCTGTTTTTCCTCCTCACGGAGTTTCTGTTTACGTGCTGAAATAGTTATTACGAAGGTCCTCAATGCAAATAACACACATTTAATGTGCAGTTTATTTTTCCATAATTTAACGTGCAAACGTAAAATCAAATACAAATGTTTGAGGCTATTTAGACTTGAAAATATCATTCCAAAAATCAGCTATAATTATATAGTTTTTGTTTTTAAAATTTACGAAAAATAAATGGCAACAGATTTTGTTCACTGCATTTTAAAAGTGTATTCTGACTGCTGTGATTTTACTTCTTTTTCAGAATTGTTTTAAACGGTCATATAGAGGCGACAGGCTTCCAGCAGGAGGGCGTGGACACTCGTGATAAATTAAATATTATTCTGATGGTCATTAACATAACGTTGGCACACAAAGACGATCAGCTACTGGCAAGTAGCCTAACACACACACACGCACACACACACACACACACACACACAGATCTCTTTTTATAGCGGTTATCGATGAAGAGCTGAATGATGTTTTTTCTTCTTTTCAGCTCCTTTGTTGATCAAACCCAAACAGTCTACAGGAGTAACTGTCTCCTGATTATCCTCAACCGTTTTCCTTTGTTGTATTTTCTGCTTTCAGCTCTTGTTAAATATAATCATCCACTATATGTTGGAGAAAAATAATACTAAAATATGAATTCATTGTTTTGACTGTTAATCTGGCGAAACAATTATATATTTTTCCAAGTGAACAAAGGAGTAGTTCACAGCTGATGTACCGTGAAAGACAACATGCTTTAATTCTATATTAGAATTAGTTGTATTCTAAATGACTCTCTACGGGTGTGGTGTGGTTTGGTGTTACAATCATTTATGTATCACGGAAGTGAGAGTATAGCCTATTGTTACCACAGCAGGAGCCTTGTTTGTGTAGTCCACCCTGCACCAGAGGTGTTGTATTGTTTAACATCAGTCCAAGTGTGAGACACGTTCAAGTTGAAATGTGCTAATATCAGCTTCCTTCAGTTCATTATATTTTACAGCAGTGTTTTTAAATGGGAGATGCACCAAACAACTCCACAATCAAGTTCCCTGTTTAGGAGACTTTGTCCCACACATGAGATATTTACATGCATCTTTTATAATGTGTTAATCCGGGGTGAATGGCCTAATTGTGGAAAGAACAACAGTGACGTTAAAATAGCCCCAGTTTCCTGGAAACTCCCACAGATTCCCAGTTTCAGAATTAGTTTTGGCGCAACAGAATGAATCAGTGTTTGTTTGGTTTTCGTTCACTCACCTCTTACTAGTATCCTCCGACAGTAGTCGGGGTCCACTCCCAAAAGTTTGTCGTGTCCATCTTCGCTGGAGGACGTCGGAGTGGACGCCGATGTCCCCGGGGTGTCAGTGGTGCTCTGAACCGGGGACCGGCTCCCTATCTCGGCGCGGCACTTGGTCTCCATCCGGTCCGGACACAGCGGGTTGGGTCCACAGCGGTGGTTCCCATCGCCCATAGTCGTGGCCTGATCGAACATCTACAAGTAGCCGAAGTTGCACTCTCTAAGATGATCTCTCCCTCCTCCTGGTCGCTGCTGCTCACCCTCGCCTTTCTACTTTCTTCTCCTCTTTGCAAGTGTTCTCCAGAGAAGAGGAGAGCATGCCCCTCTATCCCTCCAGAAAAATAAAAAAGTAGATCCAGTTACAAAGGAACCATGCGGTCCTGCAACGGAACCGAGGTGTGCTTCAGGTGTCGCGGCATGACGCACGGCCCGGAGTCCAAACAGAGTTATAGAGGGGAGGGGGGGGAGTCAGCTAAAGCAAGGGGGTTGAAATCTCGGGATCTTGCTCTAACTATAGTAGCCAAGAGGCGCAGAAGAAATGCATGGTGCTGCTTGTAAGGTACAAGGGGGCAACCAGATCTGTGGAGGAGGTGCCAGAAATACACGCACACACTGCTCGCCCACGTAGAAATAAAGTGAGAGGCGGTGCGCAAGAAGAAGAAGAAAAAAATAGCAGCGGTCACAGTTCAGCGGGCACAAGCCAGGGAAGAAAGTTTCTCCTGGTGTGTGTGCGGAGCAGCAGCAGCCTGTTACTTCACCCCCCGGTCACATCGACTGCCTGGATCCGTGATTGCATGTTGTTGGCGGTGACGTGGCCACGTAAAGGGGCTCGGTGGTCTTCTGCTTTTGGAGAGCCCACAAGACAAGATGTCTGTGTTGGAAACCCTTCAGGAGGGCGACTGTCGGGAAAATGGGAAATGGTCACAAATAAAGTCTGGAGCGCTCGTGTCTGTTGTTTTTCTTTTCTTTTCTTTTTTTTTTTTTATAATTTGCTTTGCAGCTGAAACATCACGTCTGCGCGGGGCGTCCTGGAACACCCTGCCCACACGACCGGAGCGGAGACGACGGTGTGAGGAGAGTATTTGTGGTGACACGGTGCACTTTACAGAGGCAGAAACCCCGCACGTCATTTCCTGCCCACGCAGGCTCGTCGCTGATTGGTCCGCCCGGCAGGGCACGTTTTGACAAGAGGGCGAGCGGCTCTGCAAACCTGGATCGGGCACGGAGACATGAGACGATGGTTGTGTGCGCTTTGCGCTCTGGAAACAGCGCTGCCCGGGCTTCCCCGCGGACTCTGTCTGACTCTGACGTTGTTTCTTTTTTATTTTACGGCTGAACTTCATAGCTCCGAAAACAGTGCGAGTGCAAAGAGAAACAGACTGAATCCCTTCTGACCCAGTGAGGCACAGCTTTTAATTACATTTAAAAATGCATCACAGTTTATTCCCTTTAGATTGCTCTCATTCACGGGCCTCAAATTCACAATATGAAAATAAATATCATCTTAAAAACAGAATTCAAGCAACATAGGCGAAATAAATGCATAGTCCACAGGTCAAGTATATATAGCAGAGTTAGTGACTTGTTCTGTTAGTGTGGGGCGTTGCTCTGCCACAAAGAGCAACGCAAGCTAAATGTCCGAGTTTGGATGTCTGTTATTGTTTATGTCCTATGCGTGCTGTTTCAAAAGATGTGACACAATCCTGGAGACAATTCAAGATCTGTAATATCAGCACAAACTATCACTTCATCTTAAAAACAAGATAGAGGCCCGAACTCATATTGGTCACATGCTGATATCTATGTTGAGGATTGGACACAACACCAACACATGCACGTTATAATAATAACTCACAACCTAAACATAACTCACAAACTAAAGCCTGGGGGGGAAAAAGCAGTCTGAACAAAAGTTAAACATTCAACAGGTGTCTTTGTTATTTTGTCCACCCCTTCTTCACACACAGTTGCCTCGAGTCTTGTTTTTATGAAATGTCGATGGCACCCTGCACTCCTCCCTGCAACACACAAGCTGTTCGAAGCACCAAATGATAGAGTTAAAAAAAAGAGCATGAAGTCAGCTTTATATCTGTTTTCCATTGCAGATAAAAAAAACATCTCATTCATGTACTGTATATATGCTGCCATCTTCCTCATACACCAGCCCATGTTCTGGTGTTGATGGTTCAGCCTGCAGTTTGTTGTGATTGTAAGATGATGTAAATAAATAAATAAAACAGAGCTGCAAGCATGACTGATGAACTCTTTACAGGTGAAACATCTCTGAAAAACGCTGCGGAGAAGACGAAGTGGAAAAAAGGGTGTTTTGAGCGGGATTATATAATTATAGTTTTACCGTGTGTGTTTTTTCCTTATTTTTCTTATCCGAGGCCGTAATTACTGCACACAGCCATGGGTCGTTACTCCTTTCAGCTGGCCTAATCTCACAGAGGATGAATAGAAACTGTCAATCAGACGCTGCACTCAGCAGCGAGACAAGAGGGGACTGATTGCTGCTGCTGTGCTGCGACACACACACACACACACACACACACACACACACACACACACACACAGGTTTTCTTCCTTCTTCTCTCCAGTGTCTTCACCCGCTCTTCCTTCACTGATGCACGACTAAAACCCTCCAAAAAAAGCAGATTTGTACCACGTTTAACTTTTATGAAGACTGCTCATATTTTGATTTCAGTCTTTCAGGCAAATTAGGGCACATTTTTAGTGTCACTCTGAGATTATCATATTTTAGGAATAACATGTGCTTTTGCTGCAAAATATGCCATACAGGATGTATGCTGCATATAGATAGTTTAAAACAGGAAGTTAGAGGTTTGAACATATGTTTACATGTTAACCAGTATTCTGTATATATTTCAGTTGCATAAAAAATGATCGATTACACGGTTGAGTTAAAATGAGCTTCATCTCGACCGGCTGCAACAATCAAATGATGTTTCCATGTTACTGCATCAATGATCCTATATGAGTACTTTACACTTTATTGAGTTGAAAGCCGGACCTTCAGATTATCTTAATATCATGTTGTTACTACTTTTACTTGATTAAAGGAATTAAAGTCTAACAGCCAGTGTCCTCTTTGATCACTTCTTTATCTCTTTTAATTCATTTCCCATGCCATGATTTTTTAATAACCAATTTATGGCAGATATATCTGCCTTGAGGAGATGTTCAGGCCTAGAATAACTTCATTATTGTGTCGTTTTATTACCCCGTGATGATCTGAATGCACTTTCAGCGTGAAACCACTGCAATCAGGGGGAAAAACTCGGCCAATGTTTTTCTCCTGATCAAATCAAAACTCATTCCTTTAAACGTCAACCCCATTTTTATTCTCATAATTTCATCATATTTCTGTTCCACTCAAAATCCCAATTACACTATGCTGCAGATAATAGCCAGAGTAGTACAAAAAACAGAGCTACTCCCTGCATGTACTTGCCCGCAGGCCAAAAGGAGAAAAAAATGTTTATTTGCACCACGCACCGACAGCCTCATGACCCCTCTTCCCCGTGTGCGGCTGGATTGCGGCCTTGTGGAGATGAATCTGATCAATCAGATCAATCAACAGAGATTACTGTAATCCCAGAGGTCAGAGGGAGGGCACTGGGCCACTGAGAGTTCACACATCCCACACAAGCTCCAGACAAATCTGTGCAGGAATGGCAATCATTTGGCCGCATAGGAGTACGTGGAAGTGTGCATTTATGTAAAGATTAATTTCAGATGATTCGTAACAACCTGGTGCAGCGTTCAATGTAGCTAGCAGAAAAACAGCAGATCAATATCTTTATCACAGCAAATTCTTTGCCAATGCTGCTGCATGTGTCTATTTTTAATTATTAGTATTATGTCGCACACGTGTTATTATTGAAATACATTGGTGGAAATGCGTTGGATTCGGTATAAAAGCTCTATAACAGCTGCTTAAAGTGGAGGCAGGCACGCTGAGGGTTTTTTTTTTGGTGGTGGTGGACCTGGTGAGAAAAATAAGTCAAGATTCAGGTGCGTTTATGGAGCTTTGTTGAAATAAAACCTAGGAAAGAGGAGGGAATGTGAAATACGCATGAGCGTTGATGGACACGCAGCTTTACGCACCATTTATTGGAGTTTATCATCCACGTTAACAGACACACTGGCCTCGTCTTCATGATGATATCTCAGCGACTGAAGTCAAGTTAGATTTCCGCCTCTTTCAGAGTCATACATATTTAAACAAAATAACATATCTTTATGCTTGTTCCCGTCATTCTCAGAAGGTCATGAACTTTATACAACTTTTGTTTACAAGATGTCCCGGTGTAGTGAAGTGAACGCGTAGAACTGAAATCATGTTGCACACAACAGGCGCAATGTATCTGCTTTATAAAGTAGATTACACAATACAAATAGTACAAATAATACAAATAAGCAAGCATTTACGAAAACAAGCGTCATTCCGTTTAACAGAATGGCTAAAACAACAGGACCATCGTGCAGATTTTAACGAAATTTAGGCCGTTTTATAAACATATGAATTGTTCTTCGTCTATTAGTTTGAATTTATATTCACCGACTGTCAGTGAAATCTCCCGCATACGAACTACGATGTCAATCAACAAGATTCTGATAAAACAAAAAAAGTTTATTTCACACTTTCAACATGAAAAAGATTCATTTAAAAACAAATAACATAAAATAAAGTGATATCAAGATGTGTAATTAGCGCCAACACGTTCTGATATATAATGCTACACAACATATTTAGCTTGTTGTGTTGTGTTAAAGGGACACACTGTAGATTATTTTAAATAAAGGTTTAGGATGAATAATTGTAAAGCAAAGGCTTAAAAATAATATTTCTCTCTTTTAACCACCTGCAGATTTGACCAACATTCATCACCAATACACACCAGCATGTGAATTATTTAGACGCTGCAACGAGCTCATTAATGCATGTTTACTACACATGGATGCTATAACACTAACACCTACTATCTATAACTATAACTAAACAGGTGTTTGTAGCCAAATTAATAACCTGCAAAAATCTGTCACATCAAAAATTGTATATTTTAAAGCATTTTAATAAAAGTACACAGACTTGTGTTAGTAAAATAAAATCACAAACAGAGAGAGAGAAAGAAATAGATTTTGCATGTGAACGAAGAAAAAATAAATTCTTACAAAACGGATCCCCCGCAGCTCCGCATCTTCACCAGTCTTCTAAAAAATAATACAAATACAAATAAAAAGGTGGTTTCTGCGGATGTCTGTGGTGATGTTTAGTGGTTAGTGTCGTGCAGCAGCGGAGCTGTTTTGTCCGAGTTTAGCTCAGAACTCAAAGTGTCCCAGAGAGCAGAGCATCGCTCTCTGCTGAACTCTTCAAACTTTTGTTTAGTTCCTGTGAACCCAAACACGTGCAGTTTTCTGTGTTCGTGTCTTTCTAAACATAATTCAAACAACCAATAATGCTTTCTTCATTTTCAAACGTCTAATGGATATTTAACGTTTTCAAACTTAAGAAGTTTAGTGTGTGTACGACTCGTGCTACTGATGCATTCAGTGTTGTTTAATGTGCATGTTCAATAGCAAAGGTTAGTTAAGATTTTTATATAGAATCCTCAAAGTCCTCACGTTATTTATGAAGTAATACAACAAAGAAAATAAAGTTTTAAATTTAAATTTGAAGTCGTTTTTCAGCACAAACTCACTTCTGCACTTTTGTCCTTAAATATTCATGTTAATCTTGATAATGTGAACTAAAAGAGCAGCAGGTCATGCAGCAGCTAAAACGAACCTTAACTTATTCTTTCTTCTTTACATCTGCACACACAGACTGATGTCTATGTCCCGTGGTCCTGTCCTATTCAACTGTTTTATTATTTGTGTTGTTGCCTGCATGTGTTATTTACTGTATTATGAATTATTTAGAATTAGTTGCTGCCAGTTTAATCAAAAATCTCACTGATTTCACTGATTAAAAAGTTGTTTCCGTATCATCATGGAAACGTTGTGAATTCTAATAAAAAATGCATTTTGTAACTGAAATGTTCTCAGCTCAAACATTTCTATTAATGCAATTATTCTGACACATCTCTAATCTTCCATCAACCTTTGTTATCCGTAAAAAATAAAATATGCAATACATCCATGTTTGAAGAATATGTTTTTGGACTTAAAGGGTTAATCACTAAGAAAGTTTAAAAAACATAAAAACAACATTGATGTTTTCCATGCAAATCAGTCTCTACAAGTATAAAACAACAAAGGAATCCACACTGGAGTGAGATCACCGGAAAGAAATCTAGATAGAAGAAAACACTTACAGATAGATTTCAGTCTCTCATACTTTTGATTAGCTAACCAAATAATGTTAATGTGTGTGATTTTACATATCACTTTGAATGAAATTTCTAACTTATAAATATGAAAAAAGAAACACAAGTAAAAAGTTACACGTTGTGTACCTTCAGTCCAGTACAGTGACTGCAGTAAAATGGCAACACAAGAGCAGCAGAGTCCTAAAACTATGCTGGATGTCAAAAACAGGTGTTTTATTCGCAGCTGTGGGACGGATTTGGGTCTCGTTTGAAAGTTGACACAGTCACGGTGCAGCACAGAGTGTCTCCAAAAAGTTAAAAGGATCAGTGAGTTTCTGCTCTTTAAACAGAACAGGACTTCCTGCTGTGTTCTGCTGCATGTAGACCAGTTCATCTTGAAATAAACCCAAATTCTAAGAAGAATCTGAAAATGTTGATATTTTATTATTATTTTAATCTCACATGAAAATCTATTTTGTGTAGCGGCGTAGTCCGCCACCAAGTGTTGCTGCTGTGAACTGACAGAAGACGCGAGAGGTAACAAAGCTCAAACATACACACAACTTTATTCATTTTGGACATTTAAAAAATACAAATCACACACACAGAAGACAGATATCAACAAACAAACTGCTACCTTCTTCAAACAGTTAACTATTGAGTTAACTGTTTCACTTTTACCCTAAGATAAAACAAAGCACACTTTGACATATTACTCGCAATCAAACATCAAATAAATCCAATAAATAAATCCAATCCGTACGACACCGACAGCTTGTGGTTGACTATGTGGAGAAATTACACACAGAATAACTTTGCTTTAAGGCCGATGTATTCAATGGGGCATAAGAAATAAAAAAAATCAAACAAAACGTTGATCCACACAGAGGAAATGTCATGATTTTGCAGCCAGACCCTCGCACAAATGTATATGAATCAGAGCTGTCACAGTTTTAATTCCTTTACAAGTGATCGTGCCTTTCAACTCTGATCTGCACTCGTATTGTGACGAGAGCGATGGGACGGAGAGTCAGATACACCTGTTAAAGGCATGCCGGTGGACGGTTTAACCCTGGAGAGACGACAAACAAGCAGCCGGTCCATGTGTTAGTCTGGTGGGTACGGTGTGCAGGAGATGGTAAAACAACACCGGGTTTCTGAGACAAATGAGAAGTAGGACGGTGAAATGAAAGGCACTTAGCGTCGCATGTGTGTTTCTGAAAGGCTTCATGAATTCAAACAAAAGAAACACCTAGATCCTGCTGAACCAGCTGCAGCTGGTTTTATTAAAAGGAAAATACTTAAATGCACAATTTAATGATTGTTTTCTTGATTAGTTGATTAATAGTTTGGTCTATCCAATAGAGAATACAGACAAACGTTAAAGGTGACACGTTAAAACGTCTTGTTTTGTCGGATTAAAAGTCCAAAACCCAGAAATATAAAATTTGAATTAAGATTTGACATTTGCAAAGCTGGAACCAGAGAAAATGTCTAATTTTGACTTGAAGAATAAAAATAAATCACTAATTGATGATCAGAAACGCAGCAGATTCATTTCTTTGTAGCTTGACACGAATTAATCGACTAGTTATAACAGTTTAACATCCTTAACAGCGGCTTGTTTGGTCGTACATTTCTTTAATTCTATGGAAAGAGGCAAAACACAACATGTCAAAATATTTTGCAGCTCAACAACAAAGAAGTTTGGGAGCAGAGATGTAGACATTAAACATCAGATTTTAGTGTCAGATCCTCAACATAAAAGACAAAGTGCTTCTTTCTGGATGCAACATTTTACACAAATGTTTCATAATCATGCGGGGAGATCCAGTGATACAGTGCAAGTGTGCCTGACGTTGGGTTTTCCCCTTAAATGGAGAAATGTGACCACACTGCAGCAGCCTTCAGTCTGGAGGAGTTTTAAAGACAGTGGTCTGCAGTGCCCCCTTCTGGTAAAACAGGGACATTACAGGCACAACATTGCTAAGCAGTTAATAAACACTTTTCCCTTTATGTGCAGATATATATTCCTTCCCGTCAGTCATTTTTAAGCTACTTACTGAATAAAAGAGCCCTTGTTTACTCCCTCGCCTATAAATTCATGTGGGATTCAGTTTGAAATTCAGGAAGAGAGTGAACTGGAGCACAAGAGGCGGAGAAAAGGGATTCAAAGAGTGCTGCTGCCCTCTGGAGGTTCAGTGAGGAGAACACAGATTACCAACAGAATACATCATGGTGACAAAAAGAAGACCGGGAGGAAATGGACAAACTGCTCAGATGCTGTCGATGATGTGAAAGTTGCAGCGGAGGAATGTTTTTGTATGTAAATGTTCTCAGGACACAAACATCCATCATTTCCTCTGAGGTCCAACACTGAACACTGTGTGTACATCACGTGGCACTAAATCATTTGTGTGTTCTCTTTTCTTTCCTATTTGGTGTTAATTTTGGTGTGTGTATGCTTCTATGATGGCAAGTGTGCGTGCGTTGATGTATCTGTGCACTGAGCTCCGGCTTCAGTCGAATCCCTGCCAGTCGCTCTGTTCAGAGTCGTACTCCAACTCCACCCCGATGCAGCGGACTCCCTCCAGCAGCATGGGGGTGCCTTGGTGACGATCTAGAGAGGCGGCAGAGACGGAGAGACAAATGAAGTCCGTTTACAAGACAGTACAAATGTGTAACACATGTTCACGTGTTTTTTAAAGGACAACTGTGAGTTTTCTTTAAATATAAAGCATTGGTTACGACAACACATTCCATTTGAATCGGTTCTGGTTGGATTGGTTGAACGGCCACTTCATTTCAAATGAAAGGTCACAAAGACACGTCACAAACTGCAGGAATATAATCAATGCTTTGTGTACACAGCTTAGGAGAAACAGCTGATCCTTTTCCCCTCCGACCCCCTCCGAACTGGAAGTATCCACCTTTGAACCCTCAAAGTGGGACAGTTGAACTCACAAAGCTTAATCCTTCACCTCAGGGTCTTGCACACTATACATTTTATTAATTACTCATTTTAAAAAAGTACTTATAACCATCATGGTTGCAACAAAAGGCAATTATCAGTATCAATTCATAATTTCTGATTTCTTCACTGCTCCTTGGATACCACAACAGTTAGCCTAATATCCAGTAAGTGACGTGATCGCAGACGTACCCGCAGCACTGACATGTTATACGAGACACATTCAGCCTCAGTGGTGCAGCTCAGAGTAACAGCAGAGGCAGAGCTTAATCCTCTGGTCGCCATCCAGGCCTCAATTACACACAGACATCTGGACAGATGTTCAGGCCACGCTTTGTGAGTCAAAATAAACACTCGCCACCAACACAACCCACCATATATCCTCTAGCACACATCTGCATCCACACACACACACACACACACACACACACGCACACAATAGCTCCACTATATTTACTCCGGCACTAATGGAAACACACGTATGCCCTCTTTACCTAATTCTCCATCTGCTGACGGGATAGCCAGCGTCTATTTCCGTCTCACTGACACCGATTTAAGCGGATGCAGCTTTGACACTTTATAAAACACGAAGGATTTGATATTCCCCTTCTTGCACTGAAAAGATCTTCTGCACAATTTTGTTCTACAGATTTAAAACAAAATGTGTTTTATTCTACGTATGTAAACTAAATTTAGCTTTCTATTTTTATGGGCTGTTCGGGATTAATTTGGGATTTAGTGACAAGTGCAGTCAAAGTGACTCAGACCCAGAGTGCACAGTCACCAGCAGGAGGCAGCAGCACACAAGTAAAAAAAAAAAAAAAGGTTTAAGTTCAACTTTCATTTTCTCACTTACAAGATCAGACAATGAGAGCATTTCCATTGCCTCAACATGTCCACGGACACACTCACAGCTAACGGTGCAACCGTCATATGAGAGCAGTGCAGAGCGGCAAACGTGCACACTCGCATGCACGAACAACATGCACGAACAACACGCACAGCCGGCCCGACTATGTCAACAAAGCAAGGAGAAGCTCGGATAACAACACACACACACGCACACACACACAGAGGGAGAGCGACTTCATTCCCTGCTCAGGTCACATTACTCAACTGTGATTTTTCACAATATTTGTCAGATTAACTGATTGTGAAAATAATTGTTAGTTGCAGGCTTACTACAAAGACACAATGGGAAGTACAACGTTGACTTTTAACAGCAAAAACTACTATTTTAATGTTGTGGTGTTTCCACTCAGGTTTTCATGTGCAAATTGAAATTGTGCATACAAACAGGTGGATGGAAACACACATCAAAAGCTCATCTCCGAGCTACGATGCATTGCAAAGATTGTTATCACTTATAATAAAGTGAAGTAGCCTCACCCATGACTCTGGCTTGAACTTTCACTTTCACACAGACGTCCTCGTTGGTCTCGCTCAGCAGCAGCACCTCCTCACACAGAACTCCCTCCTGCTGGGCCATGTACTCACATGTCACCTTCAGACCTCCTGGGAAACACAGAGAGAGAGAAGAAGAAGAGGGATCGTATGGATTTCATCACACACACATAACACACTCTCTGCGTGAGGCGATGTTTTGAATATGAACCAGACTGATACCAGACAGACACTCATGTGGTCAAGAGAACACAGTGATGGGAAAATAAATGAACACAGCCGACTGATGAGTCAACAGTCACAAATATATTAAACACACACACACACACACATACACAGCTCCAGACACAGAGTGTGATATAAAGGGTGTGATAGAGAGCTGGAAGTAAAGGTCAATAACCTGCTTCAGTTACAGGCGTTTAGTGGCACGACTCCCAGAAACATTAGAAGATCACCTTTGGTCCAAATTAGCAGGTTTAGTGGTGAAGGAGGGGGGGGGTCCAGTTAAGACTCTCACACACACTCTAGTTTTCTGTTTCATATCTGTTTTTCGAGTCTACCCCCCTCTGACAGCACAACGAGGGACAGGAATTCAAGACAAATGCTGAAAAGTGTTTTTGAAAGCGAGTTTTGTTTTCGTGATTCCTCAGAGACGGATTGCTGAGCTGACGCTGTCTCAACTGTCCGTTCCTGTAATCCTCAGCCATCTGGTCCTCCACCCAGCCTGTAACAATACTTGCAAAGTATTTCACAATCAGGTCTGCCTGCAAACACGTTCAGACTCACACTAAACTTGTCTTTGTGTCATCCTCCACTCTAAATGAATGTTGCATAGTATGTCACTTCAGGGACCATTATTGTGATCGGGCACTTTGTGAGCTCTGTTTGCAGACTGCAGACAACATTCTCAGAGGAGAAGTTTGACGGCAAATTAGAACAAAGATCTGACAAAAACCTATCTGCACGTATCTGCAATACGATTTATCTGTCAATTTCTGACCTTTAAACCCTCGACTATTTCTTAATTTGCACCCCAGACTGCAAAAGTTCAGATGGCAGAAGCTCCGAGTTGATGAAAGTCAGCGAAGCACCGGCCTTCATTGGCAGTTTTCATACGTAAAGCCACAAACTGGGTCAGAGAGGCTAGCGAACTTGGCTCCCTGTCGGTTTACCTCCAGCTACTGTGCAGAGTCCAACAAAGCTGCTCGCTCAGTGTCAGTGTTCGCTCAAAGTCTGGTCTGCAATAACCGAAACCACTTCAACTATAACAAACTCTACCAAAGGAATGGTGGTTCTTCAGGGTAGCTGGATAAATATTGTGATAAAACTGTTAATCATGATATTTTGTGTAACCAGTGCTAATTGGGCAATACTGAGAAAAGATTAAGAGGAGATCCTTGTTTCTTCCTGACATTTTTGGCAGTGTTCTTCCCATTTTAATAAGATGCACACTCTGCTGTATGTTATTCCTGATCCTCTCATGACCTCACCCTCTGGTGCCGGCGTGATGTCGGTGATCCGGAGGTGTGGGCTGGGTACTGGTGCCGGACACACGTCCTTCCCCAGAGCTGGGACCTCGGGCAAGGTGAAGACTATTTCATAGCGGTGCTGAGTCTTCAGGAAGCCAACCTGCAGCGAGGGAGAGAGAGAGAGATATTTGTTCAAAGGGAAAGAGTTAAATTAAGATTTAGTCTTTCTCTCTGCCACAAACTTTTGACTAATCCGCCTATAACATAAGGAGAGGGATTTATAGAGAGGGCAACAGGCTTTGGTTGACCACACAGTGCATCGTGTAAGTCTATTACAGCTCAATACATACAGGATTAGCTTCTATGAGGAACATGGATAAGTCATTCTCACAAGCAATACACTGTTGTGTTGAGATTTCCTCGAAGGAGTCCTCTAAATCATTAGCTATTGCTTTGGTGATCCTAACCCCCCTCACCTCCGCCAAAGTAGCCCGACCACCTGGGTTTCAAATCAACTCTAAATACTTCCAGTAATACTAATCCCACGTGAATAGGTGTGTCAGTAATTCAAGATCTTAATCTTATTCACGGTTACACCTTCTACAGCAGTTTGGAGCCTGAAGCAGAGACTCTCCAGAAAGCTGCCAGCATGGAAGTTGTGCATGGATTTTATGATTTACGGAGCCAAAGTAGGGCCAGTTGAGGGGTCACATTGGGTTTCCAGAGGCATCTGTCTTGCTATTTTGACAATAGATTGATCGTTTAAGTCATTGTTCAAGAAAGAACTGCCAGATCCTCATCATACTATGATTTCAGCTTCTCCAATCTCAGAATCTTCTGCTTTCTTTCTTCTCTGTTTTACAAACTGCACATCTTAAGGTTGATCTGACTAAACAAGTAATTTAAAGCGTCATTGAATAAACAGACGGATTAATCGACAATAAAAATAATAATCGTTCGCTGAAGGTTCCTTTCCAAAGTGCAGAAAGCACCCTAAACTATTCCATTTGAAGGGATTTGTAGTCACAAAATGGTTTGTTCTTTAACTGATTAGTTGATCAACAGAAAATTAAACAATTCATTAAATGTTTCAGTCATTTAATAAGCAAAAAAACACCAAACATCATCTTGTTTCAGTTGCTCAAATCCTGTTTTTTTCTGATTTATATCAGTGAACTTTGAATATCCTTGGGTTTTCAGACTGCTGATCGGACAAAACAAGCAATTCAAAGACTTGCCTTTGGATCTGAGAACTAGCGACGGGCATCTTTTGCTATTTTCTGACATTTTACATACTGTAAGTCCCAGCGCCTATACAATATACAAATAGGACTAACATAAATCAAGAAGAAAGAAATTAAAATCAGGTTCCAAATGATTGTTATATGATTATATAACAACGTGGTGTCTCCTGTTGCTGCTGCACAGAGCACAGTTCACACCTTGTCAATTCCTACCATCCATATGCAAAATGTAAAAGGAGGCGAGAAGGAAGTGAGAGGAAGAGCAACAGACAGGTAGAGAGAGAGAGAGAGAGAGAGAGAGAGAGAGAGAGAGAGAGGGACGTGATTTAGAGGTAGCTGCCGAACATTTGGCAAAGAGAAAGATTCATGAGGGGATCTTCACAGAGAGGAGTGAAGAAAGCCTCACAGAGGAGTCGGGATAAAAAAATAAAGACACAGCGAGTGAGAGATGGAGACCGCAGGGAAGTGCATGCAAGGACAGATAAGCCTAACGCCCCTCCAGCTAGAGCAGCAAACTGCAGCTTCAGCCCCACACGACCTCTGGTTAAAGCAGCAGAGCAGAGGCTGCAAACAGCGCGACGTGAGGTGCGAGAGAGGGAAACACTGCCGAGAAAAACAACAATCATTGTGTGAGCGTGGTCCCACGCATGTCCAGACACTGAGATCTGCCTCTGAATAATTCATTCAATATGGAATTTCATGCTGCAGATTTCGGCCCAAGTAGGGAAAGCTGCTTCAAAAGATGTGAGAACCAATACGAAACATTTTCGTTAGTAAGCAGGTTAAAGTCTAGATTACGAGGGCACGACAGAAGGATGACAGCAGCATGTCATTTCCAAAGATGTGCTGTGTGCAACACTGGGAGTGGGACTTAACCAGAGACACAAACCACTCATCTTTCATCCAGAACAATGGGGCAATTCTTTACTCAACTTGAGAGGAAATACCACACATTTTATGAACTTATATGTCCAGTTCACCAAGACGAGGCAGTCAGTCAACATGCAACAGTCTTTATTGGCTAGAAACTGTAGATCCTTACATGTAAAATGGGAGGAAAAACCTGACAATCCTCCACTGACAGTGAATGGGGCACCAGCTGTAAGATATTTAAACACACCGGAGTTACTGAACAACTTGCAGAGTTACTGTGGTATGTAAACGTTTCAGCCTGGTTTCTGTCAGTGCTCTCATTATGCACACGCGGCATCTTTCCAGTGGAACAAACTATACACAAACACTGACTTGATTAACTTGTTGTCGGGAACCTGTTAGCAAGCAGTTGTCTTTGGACACATCCAGAGGATATGAAGCAGAATGATCATTACATTTGGAGTCACCGCTGAGTCACGTAACAGTTCCCTGTGGGTTCGTCACCACGAGCTTCACCTTATTTTCAACATCAAAATGGTGATTGTTCTTTGTTTAAAGCCGCGCTAAGCACCAGGATCAATGCAAAACAAAGCAAACAACATGCAATTGCTTTTGTCGTCCTAGGAAATCTGCTAAACCCCCTAAACACACATAACACACATCATTTGAATTGGTCTGTGCAGCAACACTTCTCCAGCTGATCTCTGCCGCACTGACAGCTGCTCATTTCCATCTCCCGCGTCGCCGTCTCGATCAGAAACATCGACACGGACCGTGTTGTTTCTACGAGACACCGGCCTGCATCGACATGCAGACTTTGTGAAATTCTAATCACCTACGTCAAAACTTGTGTTCCTACAGCTGTTGTATGCATGCGCACACTCAAACCCACACACTCCACCTCTTTGGTCTGTACAACTCCCCCGGACATTTCCATAGCAACACCACCACCACCCATCAGCTCCACCATGAGCCATGACGCCGGGCTGACAAGTACTCTGTGCCCACTCTCCGGCACACTTAAACAGCTTTGAGAAACACACTCACACAAGCGGGCTGCGCTGCGAAGGTCACAGCCAAGTTTGTAGTCCATCCACACGTGCACACGCGGCGCTTTTAGGCAAAGTGATTTGGCAGTGAATTAGTTTCAAAGCTTGGGAAGGATTCGCTGCAGTGAGCGTGAACAGAACTTTCCTTTTGCAATTCCGGTACAACTGAGAAATAGTAGAAGAAGAAGAACCTGAACGCTTTCTGAATGTTGTTGGTGTCTGTTAAGGCAGATAAACAATCCAAGTTTAAGAAGAAAGAAATAAATATAAAATGGTGGAAAGTAATGTCTGAGGGGTTGAATTTATCAACAAAAGTGAAAAGAGATAAAAAAAAAGGAGAACAAAGAACACTCAAGTCAATTATAGGACACTATCTGACTGCAGAAAATGTGAGCTACTTGAGATGCACTTGGTTTTGTGTGCCAGCCACTCAAAGTAAAACAAACCCATAAATTTAAATCCATAAATCATGTGGTCGGCCCTCTTTTCTCAACCCTTTAAATCTGTGCTTTTGAATTGTTGGAGCTACTATTCATCTTAATATTTGACACTTTAGTGTCCTCATCAAACATCTACAATCATTGCAGCCACGCCAGCAGCTCCGTGAGCCTCGGCAATGACTCGAGCTAATTGCTAACATCAGCACAGCACATCAGTTATTACAATTCAACCTGAATGAGCATCTGTGCTAAATGTTCTGGTAATTCATTCAATAGTCAATAAGACAGTAAAGTTTTCTACTGGCTCCTGCAGTTCTTCGGAGCCCTCGGGCACCTTCTGCTGTCGTTGCCTGGCTCCTGAGTGGAGCTCCCCCAGGGTTTAAGAGCCGACAGCAGAGAACGGATGAGGAGTCGGATATCATTGCTCTGTGCCTTTATAGCCGACAAGAGAAGATTAACGGTGATGAGAAAAAGGCTTTATCTTCTCCTGGATGTTTCACAGATAAAGCCCATCGATGCTCGCAGAAACTGAGGGCACACTAGATCAAACGGTTACATTCTAATATTATACTCACCGCTGGAGAGACATGCCACCGGGGGAAGTCGAGCCCCTAATCGTGACAAGTACAACACTTTCAGGGCCATTGGGCTTTATGATGTTTTTCTTTTTCAAGGAAAACTTAATAATGACTTTGAATGAGCGATGGTAAGAAATCCGTTTACATCTTTACTACTGTAGCTTACTGGTTCTTTTTATTTACATTGATACACAACCTTCTATAAGACTCACAGTCTTCATCTTACCTGCTTCTGTTTGGATTAAGTGATCAGTCGTACATGGTGTCCATGAAGCAGATGGGCACTGAATAATGTCTGGAGGCTGGGCGGGCAGACGACTACTCCAGAACACTTTCAGATCCAAGCGAGCATGTGATGGTGCCAGCTGATAACTGAGAGGATAATTATCTAGTACCGATAAACATGTCCAGTATTTTAGTGTAGATTCCTGGAAACTAAATTGATTCAAGCCAGATCATCATGAGATTGCAACATTTGCTGCATTTATAGAAGCACAGCACACATGTCTGGCTTTTACTTTGAGTATAAACCAGAACAATAATTAGATTATAGAGATTATATATTATAACCTCTTATCTGAATGTTCACAAACATGTAAACCTGGAATCTGAGAAACATTGAAACTCAATTAAGAAACTAAATCAAATGAAAACATTTGAAGAGATCTCACTCGCCCACTGTAGCCATCAACTGTCGAGTTCAAACACACCTTCACCATAAAGTTGCCGTCATCCTCGGGAGTCACCATGACTATGGAGTCGTGCAGCTTCTCGTCGAAGTGAACGTGTGATGGGGGTCCGGCGGCGGGGGGTTCCTCCGAGAAGCGCACGCCTCCTCCTGCCTTCGCGCAACCTGAGTGAGAGGGAAGAAACCGGCGAAGGTCGGACGTGAACAAACACACTCACACGGGATCCTTTTAAAAAAGGAGAAAGGACGCGTTACACCGCCCAAGTCGACTCCTTCCAGTGACATTATAGAGTGTAGAGCACTTTGCAGAGGCAATCACTGAAACCTGCTATGGTAGTCGAAAAGCTCAGGTAGCTGCGATGGCCTGAAAAACACACACAAGCACTTATCTCTACACACGTACAGTCCATCGTTTAGTGTTGCAGGACTGAAGGTCGGGGGAAGGGAAAAGAGAGTTCAAAAGGCCAAATAATAGAAGAAAAAGGCATCTTTAAAAATAAAGATGCCTTTTACATCAATCATTCACTATGGTGGACTTGCTAGCAAATACAATGTGCCATCAATCTTCCCTTTTCAATGAAATCACACCACAGAGTCCTCTATGCCAGTCTCCACAGGATCCCAGTGTTTAAATAAAGGAGCTGAAGAAGTTTAGGCTTACAAGCTAAACATATGATTTCCCTTTAGGTTCCAGTGCTCTCCGATGACACTGACACACACACACACTGATATTTATTGTTCTCCTGCCCAGGAATTCCCTCCCAGTGTGAGAGAATGGAAAAGCGTGTTTCTCCAAATAAACCTCCTCCTCCTCCCAGAAACAATCATTCTCTTTGACAACAAACAATTTGTCTGAATTTCTGCTCAAAGGGTCCTGGGTCTGATTATAAAGCACACATTTCCCAGACGAGAATAAAACATGTTCAGAAGAAGCGATGTATATCATTTGCGGCATTAACATAACATTTGCATGGTTGTTGTCCTTTTTAATGGGACTCATCCATCACTTAAACTTGAATACCATCCAGTTCCCAAAGAAACTCTTACAAAATGGCTGTGGCAGCGTCTGTGTGTACGTGTGCAAATTTGACTCTCAGATTATTGAATGAATAAAATAGGATACACTTTATTGTCCACAAGGGGAACTTTTGCTTTGGATATAGTGCAGCACACAGCTTAAAACAACACAGTGCAGTGGTACACCACAAAATATTACACATGCTCTGAGAGATGAAAGATATGAAAACAAAGGCGTTATAAAACCAGGAGAGTCATAAAAGCCATAAACCCATAATAACAAAAACTAAATTCAACAGCGCCTCTGTCGTAAGAACTATAAAAGCAAAGATTAACTTGTTTTCTTGTTGAGTAGTGTTATGGAGTTATAGAGCTAGAATCACATGTCTAAGGCTACATCCACACTACTACGTTTCTGTTCTAAAATGCATATCTTTTGCTACATTTACACCTCGCATCCACACTACTCTGAAGTTTTAAAAACCCCAAAAAATGGAGGCGTTTGAAAACGCTTCCGATGCCGTGTTTGTTTGAAACCCCCGGGGGTTGCATTGTATTGAGGACGGCAGAACCTTTGAATACCATGACGTAGACACCCGCGTTCGCTACTCGATTGGGTCTTAGCAGTCACTACGTTAATGTTCTGTTAATTCCACGTAGATAACAGATTACAGGCGTTGCCGATGTTGCTGTCTACACTAGCAGCTGTTGTGCAGTTAAAATTCTGCATTTTTATAATGCTACTACTGCCGAACATGCGGAGGAAGCAAGCTGTTATTAGAGCGATTAGCGAGCGGCGTGTCAGCTCTACGGAGCGGACTTCTGAAGTCACGGTTTGCAGCTTTGAGGAGCGCGATATACACAAAAGGAGGACTTTTCTTTTCTTATCAATGCTTATTTTGTTCTGCACAACTATTGTGAAGTTCACCAAGAAACTGTAAACGAACAAAATCATAAATGCTCTCCAGTGCGACAGGGACTTCAGCCATGCGGCAGAGCTACAAGTGTGAGAACAGACGACAACGGAACCGGTGTTTTCTGTAACTAAGCAATAAATCTACTTCCTGTTTAAACCGGCACCCACATGCCCAGTGTACGTGAATAGTCATGTGATACTCATCGTCAGCCGTGGTGGTACGGACGGAAATCATTTCTAAAACGGTGCCGGATCGCCAGTGTGGCCGGAGATTGTTTTCGTTTTAAAACCCCGCTTTCAAACAAAAACATCAATGTGGATGGAGCCTCAATCACAAACACTCTCTCTCTCTGGGTTTCTTTTAGCCATCCTTCCAATTATTCTTGATTTATTCAAGATCTTCAAAAGGTGCTCCAATCAGCAATATGGCTACCCTGCCTGAGCTTTGTTTTGTCGCCAGTATTGCTGATTGCCAACTCTATCAACAGAGCATAGACTTGAGCAGCTTCTACCTAAAAATAAAAATGCACTACTCACAGGGTGTTAAAACGAACAAACGAGGGATTATTTTGTTTTATTTAACACTGCCTTCATAACAAGGCTGGTGCACAGCAGAGGGTTTTCATTGTCGTTTTTCTCATTTAAAAACAGAGAGATGACGGCATTTGGGTAGATTTTATTCTTCTTTTCCAATAAAAAGCCTCTCCCTCTCTTCCCTGAACCACAAATACTCCTTTAAGTCAAACACGATTTTTGTCAAAAGAGGATAATTTGACTTTCTCTGCAAAGCCAAAACAAGTCAAGGTGAAATCTGTGCCATCTGTATGAATTATTAAGATAACAGAGCCTGATAATAATGCAACATTAATCCTGAAGATTAAACCGAAAGCAACATAATGAATTTCTTATTCAAAAAAAAAAAAAACACAGCACACAAAGCTTTCATTTAATTACACATCGCTGGAACAACCCTGCCTTACTCCGCTCAGAAGATCTCCTGTATGACGAGATGTTGTTCATATTATACATATTATAGTTGATCATACCTCAATGCTTGAAAGTTTCAAATGTATTTTTGTTAATACTGAAGAGCCACTTAAGTAGTCCACGGTGTATAATTGCACCAATGCCTTTAAATTGAATTCATGTGCTGAATAATGTCTTTGCATTACGTGAAGCACGGGCCATTACTGCTCCACTGCCATTAAACTTTTATAAAGACTCATATTGGAGATTAGAAATCCTTGCTATCAGCAATCTGGGTCACAATAATGGAGTTCAGGAGTTACATAATGTTCCATATGTGCAGAATGGTGTGTGGGTGTGTGTGTGTGTGTTGTTTAATATGTAAAGCTGTATCAACAAAAGATAGGGCAGTCTGCACAACACCTTGCAATATTAACAATATCCCGTGGTGGTAGTTCTGATTCAAGATATACAAGTGTAATATCACGAGAGTCTCCCCAATCCAGATAAAGGTTAACAAGATTCAAGGTAAGTTAATATCTGAAAATGAGTTTTCTCTATGATAATATGCCTTCTATTCATATATTCAAGTTAAAGATTATTAATGGGTCTTTTCCAATTCAAGGTATGATATTTATTTACGACTTTGGGGTTAAGTATCTAACATTTAACAACTAAGAACATTGCAACATTGTATCAACTGGGGACAGTTTAAAGACTGACATTTATATCATTGTACATTTTATATCTTTGGGGTTTTAATCTTTCCAACAGCTCAAAGTCAAGTATGTATGAGATACGCAGAATTGAATTATTCCCTATGCATATGTAAGTATATATTACTGATGACTGAATCAAGAGACCAAGATTCAAGCTGTCAGTTCATCATCGCATCATGACGGGACCTGTTATTTAAGGTCACCGCTCCTGCAATAAGAGGCTTTTAGTATGAACCCTAGAAGTGCATACAAAAGGGCTCCATTACTGTAATTACTTTCATATATTATGCTTAATAATGGCGGGCTTTCATACTGTATGCCAGGAGCAGTTAGAGTTGAGAAAGGGTTCATTATACCCTTTCATTTATAATAATGAGTCTAACTGAACTTCCTCTCCAAAGTGAGAATCCGTTCAAGAAATATAAACTACTGAGCCAAAACCATCAGTGGCATTAATGTAATACTCACACTTTAGCTCTGCTAACATGTGAAGCGTATTTACAATACCAAGCATACATGCCTCAAATCATACATTAGTCAGCCTTATCGGGATAGATTCCCCTAAAACGCCAACAAGTCATTTAACTGCACAGTGTTTACACCGCTGTGTAATGTGTGCAGTATCACCTGCCTCAGTCTGGGCCGTCTCTATTGTCACCATATGGTTATCAATTTGTGAGGCAGCTGGCGGCAACGTTGTTTGCAGAGGAAAAACATATCTGTCAAGGGCACGTTTTACTGCATCACTTTAACGTTTACTCCTTCAGCTCTTTTTACCGTAGCAAATATTTAGCAATAATGTACTTGCACCTATAAAAACAGCCTCAAAGCAGCAGTAGAGCTCTGGGCCAAGCCTCTGTGTCAGGCTCATTATCACAATACACACACACACACACACACACACACACACACACACACACACACACACTTACCCTCTCAGTAGTAGCAGCAGACCCATAATCAAACAGATGCATGTGCACACACAAATAAACATGCACACGTGTACGTGCATGAGACCCCACTGAACTGGCTTATTTCAGATTAATCTCCATCTACTTCCTTCCACTAATCTGTCTGTCAGTGTATCTGCCTCTGCTCTGCGAGCCTATCAGCCCTCTTCCCCGAACTCTTTCTCTTTTACCAAGATGTCAGTACACTCCAAATAAAACCCACGATCTGCATGTTTGTACAGGAAAAGTGGCAAAAATCCGCACCACATTTAGTTTCAATCAATGCATTGTTTGCGGGCTGGACTCGTTCGCTCCTCCCTAAAACACCATCGCCTGCAATTGATCAGCTCTGTCGTGTTCTTCCCAAAAAGCACCATGGCCAGCCAAGCTTCCTTCCTGTTTTGATAACCTTGAGTCATCTTTCCTCCCGCTGTGAATCTCAAGCGTCTCCATCTGCTGAAAACATTAATAAATAAAACACACCTGGGACTCGAGAAGACAAATTAAATTATCTTTTAAGTACACTGCTTGCCAGCCTCACAGTTAGATCGAACAAATCCATCTTTGTCTGCATTTCTTCTTTTGCATCTCTTCTCTTTGCCACTGCTTCCACAGAGCCTGGGATTTCTTGTCAGTATTAACACAAATATATGTTGGTGACGACACCCGTACAGTATAGCCGGATTTTAAAAAGCTGAGAAAATTAGCTTTACTAAATAACTACATTAGTGTCAATAAAGTCTGAATTTTAAAAAAAAGGTTCTTCAGAGACCCTTGCCTATTGTTAAAGTGTCCTAAGGACACAAGACCAAGACTACACAATAAAAGCTCCAGAGCTCTTACTTGTAAAAACACATTTATCTTCCCAAAGGTGGCAACACTTTCCTACCTCTCCCCGTCAACAACAAACACTCTTCCTGTGACATTTCAGTCCACCCCAGACACATGAAAAATACCTACAGGAAGTCAATAGAGAGGCTCACTTTGCATCGCCATTCATTCAGTGACCTTCTGGAAGAGAACAAAGGCCTGCAGAGTGGTGCTTGAAGACAACAAATACCCATACTCCACTGGAGAGGAGATGAAGCATATTCACGGTGGTAATTAAAACACGATGAGTCATCTACAGCTCTTTACCCGGTCTTCTTCTCTTTCAGTGTTTGTAACTGACTCTCCTGCTTTTGAGGAAATGAAATTGCTGGCCTTCTCAAAAAATCTGTCGCCAAGCTGCCGACACAGACTCGCCAATATATCAACACACACGTTTCCCCAGAAACCCAGCAGCGAGAACAAACTGATTGTGAATTTAAATCCAATTGATTATCCTTCATACAATGCCCCCAGGACGTCTTACAGGTGAAGAGGTCAATGCGGGTATCTCAATCACAATATATTAATTCTGTCATCCTGGTTTTTTCAATGCAGAGGAAAGATTACCGGAAGTGTAATTTGCCGACAGCAGATTATAGGATACAGCTACAAGCATCGTGATAGTAAGAGAGCGTATGTAAACAGGAAGTTGCATACAGTACACTTCAATGTGATTTCCTGTTCTATATGCACCTACATTTTTGTATTTTGCGAATCATTGCTATCAGAAAAAGAAATACAAATGAGGATAAGGTGTTTTGATTCTGATCCACTTTCAAATCAAAGAGCAGAGATGGAACAATGAAATGGAGAAGAGACAGTAGACTGGGTTTCTTTCTGTTAATTAACTGGGCGTGTTAAGACCTCCCTCACTTCCCCGAAAATGAATTCATGCAATTCATTTAGCAGCTTGTTGCCACACAATTGATTTGAACAACAGAAACATGAAACTTGATCCTGAGACAGTGGGTCAGCCTACATTTCATATATCAACTAACGGTTGTCCTGTTTTCCTCAAAGCGGTATCTACCATTTAAAATGCTTTCCACCGCTTCCCAAAGTTGTAGAAAAACACTTTGTGCCACTGAAAAACTCGGGAGAAGTGCCTTAAAACGTGAAACGTCGGTGTACATAACAGCAATTACAGCAGGCAATGAAGGCAATAATAACAACTCACTCTTCTTTGCAGCGGCCATGTCACAGGAATTGGTCCGGTACCGACACACTTGGACACGCACTGTCACAGCGTTGTCATCTCAGCAGTCTGATCTCAGAACAACCCTGCAAAACCAGTTAGGACGGAGGAGACAATGAGCGAGAAGCATTTAGCAATAGGAAGAGAGCGGGAGACAGAAAGAAACGGGCGATGATTAGATCTACAAAAGAGCACTGGATGATAAGGAGGACGGTAAAGGTTCAGCAGGAGAGCAAAATGAAACGGGGACATAACGGCTCGGCCACATTAAGCTTCCCGGGGTGTTTGTCTTTCTAGATGCATGACCCCAGGTTAGCCTGTATTTCAGCTGACAGCACAGCTGTGCTGCACTAGTCAATCCAGGAGTACCACAGACTCCAAGCAGAGACCTCAATTAAAGGAAAACAACAGAACAGTTTGAGAGGATTACCTCGGGGCTGCTGCTGCTGCTGCTGCTGTCGGCTTCGCACAGATGGAAAATGTTTATCGCATCTCTGGGAGGTGCTTTGTATAAATATCGTAATAAAGGCAGGAAATAAAAGTAAACTACAGCCACAATAATAGTCAAGAGAGCAGCTTTTCAGGCATGATGGATGTTACACAACAACAACCAACCCGTGTTCCGTCTGACAATATTCTCCAAAGCTGTGACTTTACATAGTATCATATAACAAGTGAAAGCTTTACATGAACACTAATAACAGTATTTTATCCTGGCGTCCCCACACACCTGTGCTGGCTGCTGCTGGGTGACTGTTTATATACAGTATCTGTACTGTGGGGGCTTTTGAGTGTTGTTTTTCGAATCAGAACCAGAGCAGCCAGCAACTGAAGATTTTTTTTCATCTGTGCACTTAATGCCAAGCTATACCTGATCCCAGCACCGATAGCGTGACAGATGAGGCTCATGTATGCAGTCATGTGACATACATTTTATATTTTTTGTAGTCTTGGTCAAGGCAATCGTAATTCAATCTGGACACATACAAAATATGATGCTGCTTATCTGACAACAGCTTTCGAAATGGTCTTTTTGGTTTTAAATACCAACTGTGCCAAGTCCGACCTTCTTCTTAGAAATCTGTAATTCCTTTTGGTCTGACCATTTAATTGTTCTGTTTTACACCTTTTCTAACAGGAACCACTCACATCTGGGAGACCAGGATGAATCAGTTGCGGTTTGCACTTCCTACTTTTAACGTAGTGAGGCTGGGGATGGAGATGCAGCTAGCCAGGATCCAGAGGTTTTGCTTTCCATGGGAGTGAAGGGTGTCACATCACGGAACAGAAAGATGTCACATCCACTAAGAATAAGTTGAATGATCCACTTTTAACATTAGGAAATATAGCAGTGCCTGTTTTGGGTGCCTAAATGGGTCGCTATGATTAGAAAACCACTGGTGAGACATTAATGCACCTTTGGGAGCAGCAGGGTGACACCAGTATGTCTGATTGGAAGGAATTAGCTCTTCTGACGTTGCTGTTACAATGTCAAGGTGTTCCCAGAGCTCTGCAGTACTTTGGCGAGTACAAAGGTATCATAATCCATAGATATGATGGCCACACTTACAAAAACATAACCAACGTTGTAATAAGCCGGAATTATCCTTTAAATTGATCATTTTCTCCAAGCTCCCCCTGCAGTGCTGCCGAGTTGTTCCTTTGCAAGACTGGTTCCTTCTACAGTAATCTTCAAAGGGTGTGAGCACTGAACTTAATTTACATGCAGGACCACCTTATCTAAATCCTGAAGCACAATAAGGCTTTGCCTCTGACAGCTCTCCCTCAGCTCTGCGCCACAGTTGACAAACTAAAATTGCAGATGTCACAGAGAGCAGCAACAGGTACCCAATCTCCTGCATTGAATTTTGTTATTTGGGAAAGTGATTTGATCTTCTCCGTGGGAAACGGGCACATGCTGGAGTGACATTAAACATAACATTCACTATAAAGTTCAGTAGCAATGGTGCCTCATTGTAGCCAACTAACATCTTTCATTTGCATCAATTTAACCTAATTACAAGGCATTCTACTTTGTTCACTCTTAACTGTGCATGTATTATTAAAAAATAAAGTTGAAATTAATTTCATTTAAAAAAATGTACCTTTAAATCACTAATGCAGCTCAGATTAACACATCATAACACAACAGGAGTGTGACTAAAACATAAATATAGCGTTACATTATGAGTTACTTTGGTCAAATTAACAGTAACGTTACCTAATCTCAAATCCATTGTTATTGTTCTTTAAAATAAAATAAGATAATCCTATATTAGTCCCGCAGCTGGGAAATTTACAGGATTACAGCAGCATATATAGTGCATATATCTACTTTTGGATATATATTTATATTGTCCATAGTAGTTAATGTTTATGCTTACCTCTGTTCTACTTTGTTGTCTCTAATGTCCTTGTTTTTATTCATTTTTTATTTTTTTCATGTTTATTTGTATATTCTATGAGAGCAACGAGAAAACCGGAGTCAAATACCTTGCATGCGTATGCATAGATGGCCAATAAAGCTGATTCTGATTCTAATTCTAACTCTAATTCTGATTCTGATTCTAATCAGTCTACATAGCAGGAACAGTGTTTGGCACGCATATAAACGCACTGTGCAGCTGGTAGGCAGCCAGACACACTTACTGATATTTCATTAACTGCTGCCGCAGGAACATAAACATATACACGTTAGCTGTCCCAACAGGTGAGTCCTGTCCATGTCGCGTTAACACAAACTGTCAGATTTCTTTTTGGTTTGTTTTCAGGCTTACCTTACTTTAATTCACTGTAGAGGCGGCACGCGCACATCTAACTGTACAGATAACCGAGATCTTCGTAAGTCTGGCTGTAGACGTGTTGCTGGGTCCGAGGGAAGTCCAGCTAGATCCACCAGCAGCTCACAACCACAAGACCTCTCTTTCCTCGTGCGTCTTTTCTCCGCTGCACTTTCTCGATTGTCAATTTCCGCATTTGATCACGTGGATTGGTCGTGGCTCCTCGCGTGCTGCTTACTTACAGCTTACAACCCGGTTTTTCACTGATTTAAAATATATATATAACAGACAGCCGAGACAACTGCACCGATCCTCTCTACTGTCTACTCTGTTTTGCCGAGAAGCGAAGATCAAAGCTGCTGTAATGCAGCCTATCTCTCCATCTGTAACCAGCAGTGATCTATTGTAGTTGAATGGCGCCATCTACTGGTGCTTTGTTGCATGATATCAGACACAATTGTCAGCTCGTTACACCTCAGAAAGGTCTGGACCCCAGGCATAGGGATCTGCATCTGAAATTAAGATGATGTGCTCTTTCTAAAATACAAATTTAAACCAGTTGTTTCCTAAAATGTGGTTTATCCGTTTAGTCCTTATGTGACCCCACGCGGATTCATCTTGGGACCCACAGTGGGGGTCTTGACACCCATGTTATGGGAATCCATATTTTAATTTAAACCCTGAGCGTGAGGCCACACTTTATTCAAACAGACTTGTGTATCTAGATATTATATTGTTACTGTCTAAAGTTGAACACCGTTTCTAATAGGCATTAATTATCATGTACTGTCACTGTCAACATGAATACTACAGGCTGTACATACTGTAAATAGACATCTGAATATGAATACTGTACATAACCACCCACTCCAAGTTTACCCATTCAATATTTATTCATTTGCAGTATTTATATTGTTTACAATACATTTGAATTTGAGGACTCTTACTTGAAACTGATTATTTTTTGGATTGATGTATTGCTGCATGAATTAAAAGCCAAAAGGATCTGAGTACTTCTTGTGTGTATATGTGTGTGTTCATTAAATGATGTACATTTTACTGTGATGTCGATGTCACATTCATATGGTATTGTGCAATCAGTGACTGAATTCATACTACGGATAGTATTGTGTCGTTACATGTAGGCCTACACTATAAACTAGTAATTCACAGATGATGCGTGACGTAACACACCTGTATTACGAAAAATAAAACAATTGCAAAAACAAGACACAAGATAGCCTTGTTAAGTATGGATAAAGAACATATTAGTGTAACGTAAATCTTTATAATTAGCGAACGTTTACGACATTTGCGGCAGCCCCCCCTCCCCCAACACCTCTCTCTCTCATCCTCGCTCTAAAGATCCCGGATGGAAAAAACAAAAAACTTCTACGCAGCTTCAACTTTAGAGCATCGTCAAGGTGTGCGTCGCAGTTGAGTTAGACTTTTTAAAACGTTGTTTGACTTGGTGACGAACGTTGAACGCATTTATCGGGTCCGCTTTTCGGCTCGTAAGGCCATTTTTAAGTTTCAAATGTTTTGATGCGCAATTTTGATGCGCAACTGGAGGACCAACGCCCATGAAGTCGGAGTTTGGGATTTCAGCGAGCGTGTTAGTTCGCTAACGTCGAGCCCGTACTCACGGTAAGAACTTGAACAACATCTCTTTTCAACGACTGGTAACGAATTAACTGCACCCGCCAATTAAAGCATATGTATTTGTTGGGTAAAATTACGTTTCTCATGTTAATGTAGAGGTAATTACTGGCTGACCCTTGTCGAGTAAAAACATGCTAACGCATGCGCAGCGTTAGCTTAAAACATTACCATGAATTATAATGAACTTGGTGCTAATGGCGTTAACCATCGTTGTTACTCAGAGTATGATCTCTTACGATGTGGATTTGTGAACTTCGTGTGTTTCAAGATTGCTGTGTAAAGAAATATGGAGTAAAGTTAGCGATTAATGGAGGTAATCTGAGAGTCTAACGCCAGCTCAGGTCGTCACGTGGTCAATGGCGGACATGATTTTGATGCTGCAGTCATGTGTACCTTACTGGTTAACTCTTTCTTTTACAAAACACATTGTAACAGTTTAACTCAAGAGACCTTTATACACAAAATTTTTTAGATTAATCGATGAATCGGATAAAAAAACAAAAAAGCATTACTTTCCAACCCTTTATTCAAAAACAGAACTGATCTTCAGAAAGTGCACAAACAGGTTGCTCCTTGAACATCCCTGAGCTGTTAAAGTAATAATTAAAAAACAAATGGACTAACACAAAAAACATACACATGTGCACAAAAATATGTATATTTTTGTTTAAAGGGACCTGAGCTGTCAGAACAATAAATAATTTATAATAAAAAATACAAATCAGAAAACTTAACAGGAGTTGTTTGAAAGTCAGAACTTGTTCTCTACACCACACTCACAGACGCGCACATACTCACAAACTCACAGACGCACACACTCTCAAACTCTCACACTCACAAACGCTCATACTCACAGACCCACACACTCACAGACCCACACACTCACAAACTCTCACACTCACAGACGCACACACTCACAAACTCACAGACGCACACACTCACAAACTCACACTCACAGACGCACAAACTCGCACTCACAGACGCACTCACTCTCTCACTCCCTTTGTTCAGACACTTTGCAATGCAAAAATGTAACATGATGCATTTCCCATCAAGAAGCCTCTCATGGTTTGCTGTTTTTTTCTGGAATCAAAAAGATAGTATGAGTATGTGTAATAGCACTATTTACATCAACTCAATATATACATACTTGCTGTTTTAGTTACTAGTTGTGTAAAGGTAAGTAACCCAAAGAGCAGATACAGACAAGACACACACACACTCAAGTTCACTTGAGGCTTATTCATTAAATTATTACCATCATTGTAGTAAGTGCAAGTTAAGTTCATTTATACACCGCTTTTAAACACAGCTTAAGATGACCAAGTGCTATAAAATAACTTTAAAATGAAATTAAAAAGTACAGCACACACAAATATATTTGTCAACAGTAACCGATATGGGACAAAGCACAGAATATATATATACATGACAACAGATTGAATAATGAATGGGCCAAAAAAGGCAAGTGAATAAAAACATGTCTTTAGGCTTGCAAACTATACCACCCCTGCTTTACTACTGTTATTAACGAGCTAATGCCAACTTGTCATGCTTGTCAAGCTGGATAACGAGTAAACACCAGCACCAGAAGAGCTACTGGAGGGACGTTACGTTCCTCACTTCAAAGCGGAACAAAAGTAGGATTCTGTAGACTTACCCTGCTGTTGAACCCCTTCCTCCTCATCAAGGACTCCATGTTTGCGTTTTGGGTGCTGAATCATCACCGTGGTGCTCCCGTGCCATATGTCGCTTTTGCATATCTTGCAATGAACACACTTTTTCAATTTATTAAGTGTGAAATGCTCCCACACCTTGGACGACTTAGGTCGTACTGATTTCTCTGCCTCCGCCATGTTTCAGAACAACGTTACGGGTGTAATGTAATGGTACTACTTTATCGACATGCAGAGCGGAGTGATCAGGTGTGTGTGTTGTCAGACGTGGTCGTGTACAGTCCGCAGTCCATGGAGCAGCCACCCTGTGGACTCACCACCCGCAGGGACAATCATCGTGGTTGGGTGCAATGCAGGTCGGGCAGGAGGCCCGGGCATGCCGATCGCCGGCAGCATAGACTAGCTCCTGGGACGTGGAACGTCACCTCGCTAGCGGGGAAAGAGCCGGAGGTGGAGCGAAACCAGCTAGATATAGTTGGACTCACCTCCACACACAGCGTTGGCTCTGGAACCAAGCTCCTGGAGAGGGGTTGGAATTTGTCCTTTTCCGGAGTTGCCCAGGGTGAGAGGCGCCGGGCGGGAGTGGGGATACTCACGAGCCCCCGGCTGAGCGCCGCTGTGTTGGAGTTCTCTCCGGAGAACGAGAGGGTCGCCTCCATGCGCCTACGGGTTGCGGGGAGCAAGGCTCTGACTGTGGTTTATGCTTATGCACCAAAAAGCAGTTCGGAGTATCCGGCCTTCTTGGAGTCTGTGGGAGGGGTCCTGGAAAGGGCGCCGCCTACCGACTCCATAGTTCTCCTGGGGGACTTCAACGCTCACGTGGGGAATGATGGAGAAACCTGGCGGGGGGTGATTGGGAGGAACGGCTTGCCCGATCTGAACCCGAATGGTGTTTCGTTATTGGACTTCTGTGCTTGCCACGGTTTGGCCATAACGAACACTATGTTCGAACATAAGGTGGCTCATAAGTGTACCTGGTACCAGAACACCTTAGGCCGGAGATCAATGATCGACTTTGTAATCCTATCATTTGATTTGCGGCCGTATGTCTTGGACACTCGGGTGAAGAGAGGAGCAGAGCTGTCAACTGATCACCACCTGGTGGTGAGTTGGATCAGATGGCAGGGGAACCGGTTGGAAAGACCCGGCAAGCCCAAACGTGTAGTGAGGGTGAACTGGGAACGTCTGGCGGAGAACCCTGTCCGGGAGGTCTTTAACTCCCACCTCCGGAAGAACTTCTCACATCCCGAGGGAGGTTGGGAACACGGAATCCGAATGGACCATGTTCAAAGCCTCTATTGTGGACGCGGCCGCTAGGAGCTGTGGCCGGAAGGTCATCGGTGCCTGTCGTGGCGGCAACCCGAGAACCCGGTGGTGGAAACCGGAGGTGAGGGAAGCCGTCAAGCTGAAGAAGGAGACCTTCAAGGCCTGGTTGGCCCAGGGGCAGCTGACAGGTACCGGCAGGCCAGAAGGGCTGCAGCTGCGGTGGTCGCGAATGCTAAAACTCGGGCATGGGAGGAGTTCGGGGAGGCCATGGAGAAGGACTTTTGGTTGGCCTCAAGGAGGTTCTGGCAAACCATCCGACGGCTCAGGAAGGGAAAGCAGGGCTTACCCCAGGCTGTTCTCAGCAGGGGGGGAACTGCTAACCCGGACAGGGGACATCGTCGGACGGTGGAAAGAGCACTTTGAGGAACTCCAAAACCCGACCAACATGTCCTCTGCAGAGGAGGCAGCGCCTGAGGACCTAGGGGGAGGCTCACCCATATCCCTGGCAGAGGTCGCTGAGGTAGTTAAAAAGCTCCTTGGTGGCAAGGCGCCTGGGGTGGATGAGATCCGCCCTGAGATGCTGAAAGCGCTGGACATAGTTGGGCTGTCCTGGCTGACACGCCTCTTCAATGTCGCATGGGGGTTGGGATCAGTGCCCATGGAATGGCAGACCGGGGTGGTGGTTCCCATCTTCAAAAAGGGGGACCGGAGAGTGTG